GTATAAATAGGTATAAATATATATATATATGAATTCGTCGCTCCTCCTTTCCTCCACCCTCTCCTTCCCTCCTCTCCTTCCTTCCTCTCCTCCTTCCACCTCTCTTTTCCCTCCCTCCTCCACCTCTCCAGCCATCAGACGTGTGGACGCCGAAAGTGGATTTAGACAACGCCATCTTCCCCGACATCCACCGAACGACCCCCGTCATCAGCGCCCTGAGGAAGTCGGCAGCCGAACCGGATGACGCGTCGGTGGCCATTAATGGTAAGGGCGAGAGGGTGGATAGGTGGAGGAGGGTGGATGGGGGGGGGATAGGTGGAGGGGGGAGGTTGGAAAGAAGGTGGTAAGGGTGAGAAGGGTGGATAGGTGGAGGAGGGTGGATGGGGGGGGGATAGGTGGAGGGGGGAGGTTGGAAAGAAGGTGGTAAGGGTGAGAAGGGTGGATAGGTGGAGGAGGGTGGATGGGGGGGGGATAGGTGGAGGGGGGAGGTTGGAAAGAAGGTGGTAAGGGTGAGAAGGGTGGATAGGTGGAGGAGGGTGGATGGGGGGGGGATAGGTGGAGGGGGGAGGTTGGAAAGAAGGTGGTAAGGGTGAGAAGGGTGGATAGGTGGAGGAGGGTGGATGGGGGGGGGATAGGTGGAGGGGGGAGGTTGGAAAGAAGGTGGTAAGGGTGAGAAGGGTGGATAGGTGGAGGAGGGTGGATGGGGGGGGGATAGGTGGAGGAGGGTGGATGGGGGGGGGATAGGTGGAGGGGGGAGGTTGGAAAGAAGGTGGTAAGGGTGAGAAGGGTGGATAGGTGGAGGAGGGTGGATGGGGGGGGGATAGGTGGAGGGGGGAGGTTGGAAAGAAGGTGGTAAGGGTGAGAAGGGTGGATAGGTGGAGGAGGGTGGATGGGGGGGGGATAGGTGGAGGAGGGTGGATGGGGGGGGGATAGGTGGAGGGGGGAGGTTGGAAAGAAGGTGGTAAGGGTGAGAAGGGTGGATAGGTGGAGGAGGGTGGATGGGGGGGGGATAGGTGGAGGGGGGAGGTTGGAAAGAAGGTGGTAAGGGTGAGAAGGGTGGATAGGTGGAGGAGGGTGGATGGGGGGGGGATAGGTGGAGGGGGGAGGTTGGAAAGAAGGTGGTAAGGGTGAGAAGGGTGGATAGGTGGAGGAGGGTGGATGGGGGGGGGATAGGTGGAGGGGGGAGGTTGGAAAGAAGGTGGTAAGGGTGAGAAGGGTGGATAGGTGGAGGAGGGTGGATGGGGGGGGGATAGGTGGAGGGGGGAGGTTGGAAAGAAGGTGGTAAGGGTGAGAAGGGTGGATAGGTGGAGGAGGGTGGATGGGGGGGGGATAGGTGGAGGGGGGAGGTTGGAAAGAAGGTGGTAAGGGTGAGAAGGGTGGATAGGTGGAGGAGGGTGGATGGGGGGGGGATAGGTGGAGGGGGGAGGTTGGAAAGAAGGTGGTAAGGGTGAGAAGGGTGGATAGGTGGAGGAGGGTGGATGGGGGGGGGATAGGTGGAGGAGGGTGGATGGGGGGGGGATAGGTGGAGGGGGGAGGTTGGAAAGAAGGTGGTAAGGGTGAGAAGGGTGGATAGGTGGAGGAGGGTGGATGGGGGGGGGATAGGTGGAGGGGGGAGGTTGGAAAGAAGGTGGTAAGGGTGAGAAGGGTGGATAGGTGGAGGAGGGTGGATGGGGGGGGGATAGGTGGAGGGGGGAGGTTGGAAAGAAGGTGGTAAGGGTGAGAAGGGTGGATAGGTGGAGGAGGGTGGATGGGGGGGGGATAGGTGGAGGGGGGAGGTTGGAAAGAAGGTGGTAAGGGTGAGAAGGGTGGATAGGTGGAGGAGGGTGGATGGGGGGGGGATAGGTGGAGGGGGGAGGTTGGAAAGAAGGTGGTAAGGGTGAGAAGGGTGGATAGGTGGAGGAGGGTGGATGGGGGGGGGATAGGTGGAGGGGGGAGGTTGGAAAGAAGGTGGTAAGGGTGAGAAGGGTGGATAGGTGGAGGAGGGTGGATGGGGGGGGGATAGGTGGAGGGGGGAGGTTGGAAAGAAGGTGGTAAGGGTGAGAAGGGTGGATAGGTGGAGGAGGGTGGATGGGGGGGGGATAGGTGGAGGGGGGAGGTTGGAAAGAAGGTGGTAAGGGTGAGAAGGGTGGATAGGTGGAGGAGGGTGGATGGGGGGGGGATAGGTGGAGGGGGGAGGTTGGAAAGAAGGTGGTAAGGGTGAGAAGGGTGGATAGGTGGAGGAGGGTGGATGGGGGGGGGATAGGTGGAGGGGGGAGGTTGGAAAGAAGGTGGTAAGGGTGAGAAGGGTGGATAGGTGGAGGAGGGTGGATGGGGGGGGGATAGGTGGAGGGGGGAGGTTGGAAAGAAGGTGGTAAGGGTGAGAAGGGTGGATAGGTGGAGGAGGGTGGATGGGGGGGGGATAGGTGGAGGGGGGAGGTTGGAAAGAAGGTGGTAAGGGTGAGAAGGGTGGATAGGTGGAGGAGGGTGGATGGGGGGGGGATAGGTGGAGGGGGGAGGTTGGAAAGAAGGTGGTAAGGGTGAGAAGGGTGGATAGGTGGAGGAGGGTGGATGGGGGGGGGATAGGTGGAGGGGGGAGGTTGGAAAGAAGGTGGTAAGGGTGAGAAGGGTGGATAGGTGGAGGAGGGTGGATGGGGGGGGGATAGGTGGAGGGGGGAGGTTTATATACATTTGAGTATCTACCCGTTCATCTATCTATCTATCTATCTATCTACACATACTTACACTCTCCATGTGATAAGCAATCTATTTATCTTTCACCATATCGATACTGACGTTCATGACGGAAACCCATTAAAAAAAAAACTTCATTACTATAGTTTATCGCTTTACAGTCCTTCATTAATCCCCTAAGTAGACTCTGGAGTACCGGGTATGTCTATTACCATTTTTGGTCCAAATTAACTTTTGTTTCTTGGTGTTATATTGTCTGTAGTGTTATCTGTGGTGTATTTTGTGTGTGGTCCGTTTTTTTGCGTTAGATTGTATGATTGTATGATGAAGAAGTGAGGCTAATTATATGAAGGAAATATATTGTTTGTTATGTGGTACAGATGTTTTGTATTTATGTTTATTTTCTGCGTTTTAATTTGTATTTTTTTTCTCTCCCTCTCTCTTCTTCTATCTTCTTTTTTCATTCTCTCTCCCCTTTCTTTTGCTACTTCTCTCTCTGTCTGTCTGTTTCTCTTTTTCTCTGTCTTCTCTCTCTCTCCTTCTCTCTCTCTCTCTCTCTCTCTCTCTATCTATCTATCTATCTATCTATCTATCTCTCCCTTTCTTCCTCTCTCTTCCCTACCCCATTCCCTTTCCCTCTCCTTCCACCCTTCCCTCCATCCTTTCCTCCACCCTCTCCTTCCCTCCTCTCCTTCCTTCCTCTCCTCCTTCCACCTCTCTTTTCCCTCCCTCCTCCACCTCTCCAGCCATCAGACGTGTGGACGCCGAAAGTGGATTTAGACAACGCCATCTTCCCCGACATCCACCGAACGACCCCCGTCATCAGCGCCCTGAGGAAGTCGGCAGCCGAACCGGATGACGCGTCGGTGGCAATTAATGGTAAGGGCGAGAGGGTGGATAGGTGGAGGAGGGTGGATGGGGGGGGGATAGGTGGAGGGGGGAGGTTGGAAAGAAGGTGGTAAGGGTGAGAAGGGTGGATAGGTGGAGGAGGGAGAGAGGGTGGACAGGTGGAGGAGGGTGGATAGATGGAGGATGGTGAGAGGGTGGATGAGAGGAAGGAATGGCGAGCCTCATGACGCCTCCCTGGCCGTCAGTAGTAAGGGTAATGAGGGTGGAGGAGAGGTGAGGAAGCTAAGGAAGGGGGGAATGAGGAAAGGGTGAGAGTGTGAGAAGGAGGAAACGAGGAATGGGTGAGAAAGAGGAAAGGAGGAAAGGGTGAGAAGGAGGAAAGAGCGAAAGGATAAGAAGGGCGAGGAAGGTGAGAGGGAGGAAAGGGTTTAAGGGTGAGCTGGGTGACGCCTCCGTGGCCGTTTATGGTGAGGGTGAGAAGAGTGAGGAAGGAAAGATTAGTGAGGGGGAAAGGGTGAAAAGGTAAGACAGGATAGGAGGGATGGGAGGAGGAAAGGTGAGAAGAGTGGATAGTGTGAGATGGATGAATAGGGTGAGAAGGGTGGATAGGGTGAAAAGGGTGGATAGGGTGTGATAGATGAATAGGGGAAGAAGCGTGGATAGGTGAGATGAGTGAGAGGGTGAAAGGGTGGAAAGGCTAGAAGGGTGAGAGTAAGAGGGAAAGCGAGGAGGGTGAGAAGGGTAGAGGAAAGGGTAGAACAGATAAGAAACGGATAAAAAGGTGAAGAGGGTAAGAAGATAGATAAGAGGATAAATAGAGTCAGAAGAGTCGATAGGTAAAAAGGTAACAAAAAACAACAAAACAAAACAAAAAAACAACAACAACAACAACAATAACAAACAGCAATGCATTCTCTCAACAACAACATTCATCCTCACTCCATCCTTCCCTCTTCTCTCTTCTCTTCTAATTCCTTTTTCCCTTTCTCCTCCATCCATCTCCTTCTCCTTCCTCCTCCTTCCAGACGAGATGTACGAAGGCTCCAAGAACCCCCTGAGTTTCAACCAGAAGATCAAAGCGCCCTTCTCGTGCAACATGGAGCTCCAGATGTTCCCCTTCGACACGCAACACTGCCAGATGCACCTCAGGATCGCGTCGACGAGGGAGAACTTCTTGCGGTGGAGGAAGCTGGAGGTGGTCTACGAGGGAGAGGTGAGAAGGGGGGGAAGGAGGAAGGGAGGAGAGGGGGGGAAAGAAGGCAGGAAGAAGGGAGAAAGAAGGGATGAGGGGGGGGAAGAAGGGAGGAAGAAGGAGAGGTGAGAGGGGGGAGAAAAGAAGGGAGGAAGAAGGGAGGAGAGGGGGGGAAAGAAGGGAGAAAGAAGGGAGGAAGAAGGAGAGGTGAGAGGGGTGAGAAGAAGGGAGGAAGAAGGGAGGAGAGGGGGAAAAGAAGGAAGGAAGAAGGAGGAAGGGAGGTAAGGGGGGAAAAGAAGGGAGGAAGAAGGGAGAAGGAGGAAAGAGAAAGGAGGAAGGGGGAAGAGATAAGAAATAGGAAATAGAAAAGAGGAAGGGGGAAGAGATGAGAAATAGGAGAGGAGGAAGGGAGGAGGGGGCGGAGGGAAAGTTGAAAGAGGGGAGGAGAGGGAGAAAAAAAGAAAGAGGAAGAGGGGAACCGAGGTGAAAGGGTTAGAGAAACAGGAAGGAGGAAGAGAAGAGAAATAGGACTAGAGAGGATTAAAAGAAGGAGGGGGGAGGAGGAAGAGAATAGGGGAGGAGAAGGAGGAAAGAGAAAAGATGAAGTAGAAAGAGATAAGAAATCGGAGAGGACGAAGGGAGGAAAGGAAAAGGGGAAGGAAGAAAGGAGTAAAGGAGATTGAAATGGGGAGAGACTAAATGAGGTAGTTACGAAGGAGGGGTGAGAGGGATGAAAAGGAGGAAGGAGGAAGGGAGGAGAGGGGAAGAAAGGGAGGGAAGAAGTGAGAAGGACGGGAGGAAAGGGAGGAAAGAAGAAAGAGAAAGAGGGGAAGGGAAGTGAGAGGGTTAAAGGAAGAGGAAGGAGAAAGGGAGGGAGAGAAAGAGGGGAAAAGGAGAGGAAAGAGAAAAAGGTAAAAGGGAGTTGGAAGAGGAGGGGAAAGAACACAAAGAGAAAAAATCGACAGAATGGACTCTAGAATCTAAGGCAGAGAAAAATTGACAAAAATATAACAAAAGGCCTACAAAAAAGGACAAAATGCTCACAAAATGACAAAAAAAACGACAAAACCCCAAACCAAACACCTCTAACAACCCTCTAACCCCCCTTCCCCCCCTCTCTCTCCCTTCCCCCATAAACAGGTCACGACGTCCGAATACGTGGTCGGCGGCATGACCATCGACCACCGCAGCACGAACAACTACAGCGTGGCCGTCGTCGGCTTCGTCTTCTCCCGCCAGTACAGCTACTACATGACCTCCGCCTTCCTGCCTTCCATCATGCTCATGCTCATAGGATACGCCTCCCTCTTCTGCAAGCGTGAGAACCGCGACCTCCGGGTCATGATGTCCCTGACGACGCTGCTGGTCCTGTATTCGCTCTACCAGCAGGTCGAGGACGGGCTCCCCTCCACGTCGTACACGAAGGCGATCGACGTCTGGTTCTTCTTCGCGATTTCCTTTATCTTCACGCAGGTTTGTAGAAGCTGGTTTGGTTTGCTTGGTTGGTTGGTTTGTGGGAAAGAAAGAATCTTTTATTTTTCTGTTTTATTTATCTATTTATTTATTGTTAGTGTTATTATTTATTTTCTTTCTTTCTTTCTTTTAACTTTTTTTGCAGATGAAAAAGTTTTCTTCTCTGTTTTTTTTTCTTTACAATTAATTTTTGTTTTCATTCTTTTTCTTTTGCTTTTAGTTGAATTTGTTCTTTCCCGATTATGTTTCTTCTTGTTATCCTTTTTTGTTGCTTTTATTATTTTTGTCTTGCTTACTCCTTTTGTATGTTTTTTTTTGTTTTTATTTATCATTATATGTTTATGATATATTTTAGTTTCTAGATATTTATTTTTCTTTCTCCCATTAGTGATTTATATCTATCTATTTTTCTATCCATCTATATGTACATGTATGTATATATACATATAAATGTGTGTGTATATATATATATATATATATATATATATATATATATATATATATATATATATATATATATATATATATATATACATACATATATATATATATATATATATATATATATATATATATATATTCATGTTTCAACTTTCATGTATATTTGTTGCGAATCACATAATAAACATTTTAACTTAAATAAGTTCCGAACCAAAAAGCAATTAAAGAAAAATACGTGAAAAAGATGAATAGACAAAATAGATAGATAGAAAGAGAAAATAAAACAAAAACCGAAGCAAACACTTACCTCCCCCCTCCTCCTCGACCCCCAGGTCATCCTGCACGTGGCCATCGACGTGCGTGTCCCTCTGCCGACGCGCTTCCCGAAACCCACGACGGTCCTGCCCATCAACGAGATCCCGAGCAAGATGTTCCCTTCGAGGTCCTGCTGGAGGCCCCTGATCGCCGCCAGGGTCTTCTATGCCATCCTCTTCGCCCTCTTCATGGCTGTGTTCTGGATGGTGGTCCTCAGGTTCAACGACAGAGCGAGTATCTTGGGGTTGTAATGGAGGTTGAAAAGGGTAGGAGGGTGGGTGGGGGGTGGGGGGTGGGCGATGGGGTGAGGGGGGGATGGGGTTTGAGGGTGTGATTTCAGAGAGGTTGGGTTGATGGAGGGTGAGATGGGTTGAGGTTAGGTTGGTTAGGTGGAAGGGTGGAGGTTGATGTCTTGAAAGGGGGTGGGGGGGGGGGTGGAGGAGGGGAGAAAGTTGGGTTGTGTTTTGAAGTTTGAGATCTTTAGGTTTGGGAGCTAACGGGTGATTCGAGGATGAGGTTTGAGATCTGTCAGGTGACTCGAGGGTGAGGTTTAAACTCTTGAAGGTAAATCGAGATGAAGTTTGAACTACTGAGAATAAATTATGAAATTTCTGCTATTGGGAGTGAATCAGATGAAGTTTTAACGGCTGAGAAAGGACGGCGAAGCTTCAAGCGTTCAAGGCAAGGAAATTGGTAAGATTTTTTTTCTTTCTTTCTTTTCCTTTCATTAGAGAAGTTGTTGCTCACAAAGGGAAGCAATGCATGTCTAATGTACAACGATTATAACAAAATACAGGAATAGGAAAGCGCTAGAGTTGGCGGTACTTGCAAAAATGCCATCTATTATTCAAACGACTGATATTACCTCTGTTATACTTTTACATGGATAAAAAAAAACAAAAACAAAAAACAGTTATATAAATAATGTGTAAGTTTTTTCTTATATATATATAATCAATTTTGGTTCTGTATATCACGTTGTCATAATGTAATAGGAGAGCATAGAGTATGTTTATATAAAAGAATGGCTGTATTTTTAGAGTTACCAGAATGTTATATCAACATGATATAATTTGCCAAAAGGTGGTGGTAGAATTCAAGTCCTATGGATTAATATTTTCTACTCAGTTAAAATAGAAAAAAAATGTTTAGAATTTGTATAATTCACTCAAGTAATATCCACACAATAAACAAAGTGGTTCTTTGTATTTGTTGGTTTTATTCCCCGTAAATCAGAATTATTTTTTTCCGAATCTTCGTTTTCTCAAATTTTATGCAGAGGAATTGTCCAAGATTTGTACCAATACTGAGGATAAAGTTTGAAAAAAAAATGGTCTGTTTATTGTGGTTATTTGTGTGGTATTGCATTATCACATATTCTGTAATAGTGTGTCTATGTCTTTGTCCTTCTGTCTGTCTCTTTCTCTCTCTCTCTCTCTCTGTTTCTCTCTCTCTCTCTCTGTCTCTCTCTCTCTCTCTCTCTCTCTCTCTCATCGTCAATATCGTAACAACAGACATGTTTAAATCTAAATATGGACCTGAGTCTGTCAAATCGATCCGAGTCTAATCGAGAGAGAGAGAGAGAGAGAGAGAGAGAGAGAGAGAGAGAGAGAGAGAGAGAGAGAGAGAGAGAGAGAGAGAGAGAGAGAGAGAGAGAGAGAGAGAGAGAGAGAGAGAGAGAGAGAAAGAGTAAGAGAGAGAGAGAGAGAGAGAGAGAGAGAAAGAGAGAGAGAGAAAGAGTAAGAGAGAGAGTAAGAGAGAGAAAGAGTAAGAGAGAGAGTAAGAGAGAGAAAGAGTAAGAGAGAGAGTAAGAGAGAGAGAGAGAGAAAGAAAAAGAGAGAGAAAGAAAAAGAGAGAGACAGAGAGAGAGAACGAAATACTCATACACACAATACAAACAAACACAAAACGTGTCTCTACCACTATTAACACGTAATAAACAAATAAGACATTCCTGCAGCCCTAATAAGACACTATATAGGTCCATATTTACGCGGCAATAAAACAATGACAACAAAAAAACTCCTCAGACCACTCAGATTATTAGCCAGGCTTTAAGGGGGGAGAAGGGAGGGGGGGAGAAGAAGAGAGGAGGGAGGAGGAGAGTGAGGGGTGAAGAGGGAAGGAGGGTGGATGGGAAAAATAGTGGAGGAGGATGAGAAAGAAGTAGAGAAGAGAGGAGAAAGGTAAGGGAGAATGAGGGAAAGGGTGGAGAGGAAAAGAAAGGAAGAGTAGAGCGAGACAGAAGGAGAACTAGGCAAAGTGGAGGAGAGTGAGGGTAAAGTGGGTGAGGAGATAGAGAGGAAGAGAGGGGATGAGAGGATAGAGAGAGTAAGTGAGATAAAGGGAGGGTGGAGTGTGGAATAGGGGGGTGGAGTGTGGAGTGTGGAATAGGGGAAGAGAAGAATGAGAGAGATGGGGAGATAGACTGGGGTGAAGAGAGGGAGAAGATGATAAGGATGGTAAGAAAGAAAAAGTAGAGAAGTGAGAGAGAGTGAAAGGAGAGGGGATGAGGGTGAGGAGACAGGGAGGAAAATAAGGAAAGAGAGGAATGAGAGAGAGAGGCCAAGAAGAGGGAAGACTAGTAAGAGAGAAGAGAATGAGGGATTGGAAAGGCAAAGAGAGGAGTGCGGGGGAACGAGAGAGAGAGGGGGGAAGGGAAGGGAGAAGAGAGCGCGAGTGGGCGGTGGGTGGGCGTGAACAGCTGTGTAATTCCCTGCCCTTCAGTATTAGCGTATTTATCTTCCCTTCGCCTTCAGTGCCGCCCTGCAGCTGCTCCTCACTGGCACCGGGCCATGCTGGGCGCCCGTCGTGCGTTGCGTCCGTATAAGCTGTTATGGTATACTTACGTGGTGAACTGATGGGACATACTGCCGTTATAAGCTCGTATGCTCTTGTCTCAGAAAGATATATCAGTCTCGTGCCCTGCCGACGCATGCTCTCGTGGTATGCTGATACGGTATGCTGATGTGAAACACTATCGTGATATACTGCTGTCATATGCTACTGCTGAGTATATTGTTTAATGACGTAACGATGTACACTGATGAAAAATACTGA